CCCCCCCCCCCCTACAAAAAATTTCATTTCCCTGGGGCTTATAAAAATACTAATAATTATGGTACTTACTGATCAAACCACCATTCCTCTAACGTTTCTTCTTGTTCTTCAACCATTGCATGGCACTAAATAATTAAAAATAAAAATGACAATTTGCACCACTACTTATGGCTAACTGCTTAAGAGGTAGTGTCAATCAATTATTAATAAAAATCATTGAAAATATAAGCCAAACAATGACATGAAAAAATAAAATTTTCTTCAGAAACATACCTCAGAAGCACTTTCATCACAAAGCCCTTCCATAATTTCAACTAATCTTGTTTCACTGGTAAAGGAAAAAAAAATACTTTTTTTTAATATAAGAATAAAAGCAAAGTCAACACTGCCCAATCAAGTACAACACAAGCACTCAAGAGAGCTTTGAAAGTCGTCAGACCATCATGACTCAACCAGTTGAATTAACAAATTCAAGAAGAAGAAGAGGAAAGAAACAAAAGAAGAACAAAAAAACTTTAAGAAGAAAACAGTGGAATCAGTTTGGTCTCAGAGACTGGTTGGAATTCGGCATCTACAATCTGCTTCCCTGACTGTCTTGCCGCTAGGGTTTTGAGGCCAGTGACTAGAACACATAGGGATGTTGTTTTATTAATAGAATAAGAACTCCATATCGCAGGTTAGAGCCTTTACAGAACATACCTATTTGCATAACTTCCTAGTTTTCTTTCCTCCCAGTCTGTGTTTCCCCCACCAAAGTTAGCTTTCTCTGTTTTATCTTTACCCTATGGTGTAAAATGAGAAACAGAACACCATGCAATGAATATAAATACTTAATATGACTCCCAGCTTCCACTGATTTATTCAAATAAGATAGTGTTGACTCCCTGCAACTTGTATTCACTTTTATTGGGATTAAAACTGCAAAAGTTGATCCTAGTTTTGATTGTTTGACTGTCAGAGTACTGGATGGCAGGCATGTATGCATGCATACAAGTCTGCATGTGTGCATCATGTTGTCAACACTTCAAATAAGAATGCATTTTTTTTTTTGATGACCCAGGTTAAGATCAGTGATCAAAGATCACTCAGATCATGGTGTGTTCCAGGAACAAATGAATCCACTCTGGTCACAGATTCAATGGCTCCTTTAATTTGATGCACTATGATCCAAGTTATCTCTGATCACTGACCCTGAACTAAGGATGCGTTCCTTTGAGATGACCCGGGTCTGGATCAGTGATCTAAGATCACTCAGGTCATGGTGCATCCCAGGAACTGATGAATCCACTCTGGTCATGGATTCAATGGCTCCTTTAATTTGATGCGCTATGATCCAAGTCATCTTAGACCACTGACCCTGACCATGATCATCCCAAAGAAGTGCACTCTAAAACTCACAGTTTTCACTTCTTGGGACACAAACCGGTAATGTCCACAGACTAACATCCAGGCATATTTTCAACCCAAATAAATAGTTATTGTTTTAACACTGAAAATTTCAGAACTCAGCTTGTCATCTGATTAAGAAGTGGCAAACAACTTGATATTTGCAATGAAAAATTTCTAAAATTTAAAGCTTGCAACAAAGTGATGAATTGGTTCTATTCACAATAGCAAGGTGCCAAAGCATAAAACGATATCCATAACATCAAATTTCAAAACGTGCACAGATTAAATATTAACCTATTTTCCTGATGTTATAATTAGACAGGTCAGATAAGCTAAAACTATTTACCTTTTTAAAAGCGTCTACAATGTCAGTACACGTTGGACATTTCGCTTTCTTTTCCCTGGCAGCTGATCTAAGACCACTACAGAATAAAATGTTTGCAACTAAAACGATTTGTACAATCCAGTTTTTTGACATCTTCAATGAAATTTCCATAAAATCGTCCACGTGAATTGCGGTACTGCAAGCGCGACAAAATTTCTGCAACTTCAAATTTAGCACAGAAAAACTACAGAAGTAAACATCTAGCACATCGTATGATAATTTGAAAAAAGAGTATACGATTTCCCACAGCACTGAAAGTTTCTTGTACCACAAAACGGTCGTGGAAATTCACCGGCTCAATTATCGTGTTTCTTTGCAGTACAAAACCGCTGGGGAGCCAGGGAAAACCATGGCGAGTAGAAGAGAGAATATAATTCAATCAGAACTTTTATTCCAAGTTTTTTTTACTGTAATAAATATAGAAAGTTTAAAATTTAACTTTGTGTATAGATGGTAGTCAACCAAAACTTGCAATTTCTCTCAAACTACCTCATACTAGAAATAACGGAATATTTTTTGCTAGTTTACAGAAATATTTATAAATTCTCACAACTATTGGGAAATTTTTGGCGCAAAGCGAAGGCTCACCCGCGGGAATCAATGAGTTTGCAGCCAAAAATTAACCAATGGAAGCGCTCCACGTTAAGCACGTGACTAAAATTAACCAATGAGCACGAGACACGAGCTTTGGCCGTGGTAAGTCCTGGTTGGTTTGTATCGCTTGAAAGCTGCAGTTTCGCTAGAAAGTTTTGCACAGATTTTATCCTTTCGCTGTCAGTTTCAGCTGTTGCGGCTGGTTTTCAAGGAATGGGGAGAAAAACGTACCTTCTAAGCCTCTTGGGGCTCCTTCTAATTTCTTGTAAGTGTATTTTTAACTTTCTTTTTGCTTTTTCTTTTGCACAAGTAAGTTTAAAGTTTTGCAAGCTTCCTTGTCGTGACTGATGGTCCTGATGGAGAATTTAAACTGGGTTCAAAGCTTTAAATTTCAAGAAAATTTAAACGATACTTCGATTCAGATGTTCAGCACAGATCTCCGTCGGTTTTCCTTGAATGCAAGAACATCCAATATTTGTTTGGGTCATTTGAAAAAATCTTATGGCGTAACGTAACCAGTTTCGATCTTCATTCCACTTGTAGTTATCAATTAGTGAGAGTTGAATTTCCTTTTGAGCAATTGTCTTCTCTTATATGCCTACTGTTAGAATATGAGCTCTAAAATTTACGAACTATGTCATGGAGCTGCAGATCAGTTTAGATTTTAAAGACTGTCGGTTGGCCTACAAGTGTTGTTACTTTTACCTCGATTGAAAAGTTCATACAATTGATTTTTATCGATTGAATAAGGTACTATTCACTTCAATCAGATTTCTTTGTTCGCAATGAAATATCCATAAAAATCTATATTAAGAATGACAATCTGCATTTAAATTATTTTAATCAGTTTCGAAAACTCTAGCAGAAAACGTTTTCTATCGCTTCGTGCTTCACGATTTTTCCAACCAAATTTTTCTCTCACCATTTTAGAAAGAATAAGTTTAAACCTTTTCCATTGGAACTGCCTCTGAATACAGTTTTCAGCTTTCAAACAATTCGTAAAGCAAAATTTTAGGGGAAAGTCTAAATGTATTACATTCCATGAGGTATTGCAAAAACTGACACTTCAAGATTTTAAAAATCTGTCCTGGTTATATGGCAAGTTCTGATTGGCTGCTTGTTGTCAGCCAATTAGATTAGGCCAGATATGTCTTCCATATCCAAGAACAGAGTGCTTAGAGACTATTTAGCCACTTGAGAAAGAATTTAAAATTTAATTCATCTACCAGTTTGCTTAATTGTTTTCTCAACAGTTAAATGACTTTTCATTTTCCATGCCTCTTTTGGATTGAAATAATTTCAACATTGTAGTACCTTTTTTAACTTTTTGTGATGAATAATACAGTTCTCTTTTGCGGGTGGTATTTTGTTTGTTTCTTTACTCAGCTTCCAAAGTTTTTTGCAGATGTACACGTTTTAGTAAATAGCATATAAGAATGCTTATTGTTTCCATGCAATTAAACATGATAATGTCATCTACAGTTAAATTGTGATCAATTTAAAGTCATCTAGTTTTTCTCTGTTAGATTTTCAATTTTATTGCTTTAGTGCACCTATATTATTATGAAACTTGTGAATACAATTCCATCATTTTAAAGTCATCTAGGTTCTTTTTGCTAGATTTTCAATTTTTGTTGCTTCAATACACTGAATGTAGTCTTTTTTGCTAGATATTCATTGTTTGCTGCTTCAATGCACCTATAATAATATTAAACTTGAAAATACAATTCCATCAGGGTCTTTGACATGTAGGTCTTTGTCATAAGAGTCAGTGACTTGTACATGTACATGTAGCTTGATTACCTAAAATTTCTCCATTTTCAACAGCAAGTAACGAACTAAACAATCAACTTTTGTTTCATCAATTTCTTGTTTTGTATTAATTAACAGGACAAAAACCCAATCGGGGAAACAGAGTTAAATTTATGGTCATACTTGACATGTGTTTATAAATACTAATTTTTCTTTCTATCTTTCAGCTCTGTGTTTAGCCGAAGAGGATAAGACAGATGAGAAAACAGAGACAGAACCACCTACTGTAGATGAAGATGTCGGCAAAAGTAGAGACGGATCAAAGACTGATGACGAGGCTGTTCAGAGGGAGGAGGAAGCCATTAAACTTGATGGTTTGAATGTAGCACAGATGAAGGAACTTAGGGAGAAAGCAGAGAAATTTGCTTTCCAAGCTGAAGTTAGTCGAATGATGAAGCTTATTATCAACTCCCTGTACAGAAATAAAGAGGTAAGACAATGGTATAGCCTACAGATTTTGAACAGTTGAAAGTTTGCTGGAAAAATATCATACAGTATATCTGTACATGTGTTCCTGAGGGTGGCCGTTTAATAGGGGTTGAACTGTAGTACATGTAACATTTCCCTGAAACATCAAAACTCAACTTTGATGCAGAGCCGGGTAATAAATAGTGAGAAAGAGTAACAAAGAGTAACATGAATTTTATGTATGTACTACAAGTGGTGGCTTTTACAAAATCTGCTTCTCTTTTTTCCAGATTTTCTTGAGAGAACTTATTTCCAATTCGTCTGATGCCTTGGACAAGATTAGATTCTTGAGTCTTACTGATAAATCAGCCCTTGCTGCTACAGAAGAACTCTCCATTAAGATCAAAGCGGACAAAGAGAACAACATTCTTCATGTTACTGATACTGGTATTGGTATGACAAAGGACGATTTGGTCAAAAACTTGGGTACCATTGCCAAGTCAGGAACAAGCGAGTTTTTCCAGAAGATGGCGGTAAGAACTTAGCCTAAAAACTTATTGCATTGTAGTAGAATTTATTATTTTCAGTGTTATCTTGGCCTTGCATTGTGTGGTTTTCTTACCTCAAGCTTCATTGTTCAATATTCAGGATGCTCAGTCAAGCGATCAGGCGAGTGACCTCATTGGCCAATTTGGTGTTGGTTTTTACTCTTCGTTCCTCGTTGCCGACCGTGTGATTGTCACATCCAAACACAATGATGACAAGCAGTACATCTGGGAATCTGATGCTGCTTCTTTCAGCATCACAGAGGACCCCAGGGGCAATACCCTCCAGAGAGGAACGACCGTCAGGTAATTGACAGCTATCATTC